CTTCCTTTGTTTAGACAATAGTAGCTTTCGAGTTGGCTTAACATAGACATTTTAAATCTATAATTTTTAGGTCTAGCGCATTGAGTATCGTCCATTAACAATAATTTGTACTCGTAAAAATTACCATAAAACTTTGCCAGTGGAATGTTCGCTATAAACGCCTAAGTTAAAACTACAACTGTCTCGAACATTTTTATGTAAATTATTAATAAGTAATAGCATGGTTTCTCGCGAAATTTGGATAAACATGCACTCGTGAGTTTTTCAAAGACCTCAAAACTCACTCGTGCATGTTATATCCAAATTGCACTCGAAACCATACTATTACCTATACTATTCGACAAAAACAGAAAGGTCTCCTGAAGTATAAGACACCTATAGCGGTTAAACACCTCAGTATTTGCATGAAATGTTTGCCTTTTCATCTCTTACGGCGTTTAAAATTAGTCTGGAATCCACGCGGCAACCAGGTGGAACAGTACTCTTTCCGCTCCATTTATCTCTTCTCTCCTTTTGTATTCATTGTATTTTTATACTGTCTCATAACTTGTGAATGTATGTATAAACTCCGTTTTTAACGACGTCAAGACTCAAAAATAAAAATAATAATAATAATAATAATAATAATAATAATGAAAATTTTTTATGCATTTACAATTGCAAATCTCACTGTTAAAGGTAATTTACAATTGGCTACTTGATACATTATACATTATTACACTACACATGGACATAATTCTATCATACAAAAAGTAAGAGACTAGCTAGAAGTTCATTAAGTCTGGATTTGACCAGTCCTTGTTTCTAGAACAGACAACGTAATATGTCGTTCTTATTGCAATATTAATGATTTTCCTAATTATATAATTTACACCGGCCTTATCTGAGTTCAAATGTTCCAACATTTGTATAAAAGCTGAAGATGCTATTCAAAACCACCGAGTGCACTGCTTGAGAGATTAATGAACTTTACCGGATGGAATTTTTTCTTTTGTTCTATGATCATCTCTATATTTTGAGTATTTGCGCTGTACATTATTCCTTTGGTTAGTCTCATATCCAACGGTTAGTTCGAGTACATACAGACAATTGTCTTTGGTCAAAATTAGTAGATCAGGACGATAGTCATCACCAGTAATAATAGAGGGATAAGAGAATGATGGTAAGTCAGCATAAATGGTCTGAATATGTTCTAATAGGTTAGTAGCAATAAAATTTAGGATTGAGTCGTGTCTCCAAGTAAACGAGCATTCAGAGGATGAGGACAGTCCCCATCTTTGAAGGTTTTTGCGGGTTGGTAGCGAATTGTTTATGTAGCGACTAGGGAAGTTGAAAATATTTTTTGGTAGTTTGGATTGACAGGTTGGCCAAATCGAATTTACTTGGGGTAGTGAAAATTATGAGACGCTGAAGAAGAATGAACCTTGGCATTTTAACTGATTCTCCAATTTATCTTCTTGAATTTCACGGAATGACAATTAAAAGTTCCGGGTTGTTCCAGTCTTTGTTTCGTCTACAGAATATATAATAAGACGTGTGAATACAAGTAGCAATTATTTTCTTTTTTACATATTTAATACATTGTTCGTCGTACTTCAGATCATGGAGCATATCAAATGAAGTATTCGTCGATTCACCAAATACACCTAAAGAGCTTATAGATACATTAACAAACTTAACTTCATCATATATACTTTTTTGATCGGTAATTAGAGTCAAATATTTTTCATGTTTTCAATCTGAGTTAGTTTTCAGGTTTGTTTCAAATCCAACAGTTACTTCAAGAATGTAAAAAATCTTATTTTCAATTGTCAATAGAAGGTCTGGTCGTAACTCGTCACCAGTGATGACAGATGGGCTAATAAATCGAGGCAGATCTACATACATTTTGGACCTTCCGACGTCGAGAATGCTGGACGCAATGAGATTCAAAACTGAATCATGTCGCCATGTATATCTCCCTTCGTTTAGATATGTCTTACATCCAGAGATTACGTGCAAAAG